TGTATTTTAAACATTTCAAAATACTAGGGTATTAATCAAATTTAAAATTTCCGAAAAATAAAACCTTTTAATTTAAAATTTTAAATATTAAAACTTTGATTTAATAATTATCCCAAAATTAAACAATTAATTTGAATTATTAAATCTTGGAGGATTATCTATTAAATTAAATTAATTTAACCTAATCCCTTAATCCCCTAAAAATTCGAAAATTTGGGATGGGATAATTAAAAAAAATCTTTAATTACCTTTTAAACAATTAAATGGATAATTACAAGATATGACAATATCCTAATCCCTAAAATTTAGGAATCTTATCTTGGGGAGGAGGCAATTTCGAAAACCCTAGGGTTAGACAACCCTAAATTTGAAATCTTGGGGCCAAAGGAAAGGGTTTGGGAAACCCTAGCAAAATTTTGAAAACTAGGGTTTAGGAACCCTAATTTTGAAAATCAAACCCTTTAGGGTTTATTAGCCATAAACCCTAATTATTAAAATTCATACTCTTGTATTAAATCTAATTGAAAACAAAACCAAAAGCTCCGATACCACTGATGGGTTTTACACAAGCAATCCTATGTGTGCATGCAACCCTAATTATAGATCTATGTTTTCACTATTAGACATACAACTTTATGAACACAAAAAGAAACCTGGCATGCTCCTACAATTTTCGAAATTCACATAGAAGAATAGAACACGTACCTTTTGTTGTTATGTAGTAATAACAACTTGTTTCTTGAATCTCCTTAGCTTTGAAAGCAAGTACCACAAGTGTACTACCTCTAATGGCTCACAAACACACTTGAGTGAAAGGATGAATATGAGAGAGAGGATGAAGGGTAACTAGCTCACAAAATTGGCTCTACTAGGGTTTCTCCAAGGGGTGCCGATTTTGAGTGCCTTAGGGTGCTATTTATAGTTGAAGTCAACTAGGGTTTCAAGGTGGAAACCCTAATCCCTTAGCTTAGGGCCTAAGCAAACCCATGGACTCCTTTCCTTAAGCCCTTGGACGAAAACTCCTAGATCCTTCTAGGATTTTCGGCCAAGCCTTAATAAAGGTAATCCAATGGCCAAAACTCTCAACTATCAAATAATTACAAAACAGCCCCTGCATTTTAATTAATTCCTTTAATCCCAAAATTAATTCCTAATTAATTTCTGATTAAATACTAATTAATAATATGATTCCAAACTAATATATTATTCATATAATATATTAACAAATCATATTTATACCCCAATTTATTATTCTTAACAATAAACCAGCCTCTCTCTTCAACAGTCATCCTGTCTAGTCACCAGTGTGAAGGCAACCCAAAAGGACCATGCTACAACCGGGTCAAGTACATACCAAATATAGTTATGGACTTAGACACTAATCCAACAACATCCCCATTTTCACGGCCAGAAAAGACTGATTTTGTTTATGCTTTGTTTAAAAATCAGAGTAACATTTTCAATAAAAATGTTGCGGAATTTGTTCCCAAAATAAAATATGATAAAGATTTATCAAAGCATTTCCGTAGAAATGTATTTCATTAAAAACCTCAGGATGTCATGTTCGATACAAGTCAAAATCATAAACAGTACATTATAACCCTTACAACATTTATTCATATCTACAGGCCTATAAACAGTTATCCCTCATCCAAACATCTATGCTCATGCGCCACTACCTGTAATACAAGAAATTGAGTGGGTCAGGCTTGGGAGCCTGGTGAGCACATAGGGTTTTCAACCCACAATAAATAAGTTTATTATTTTCATCAACCAAACAAACCCGATTACCCGTTCCCGTTCCCGTTATCCTCACTTTACGTCCCTACAACATCTAACATAAGGGACCTAGCCTAAGGATTTTCATCGGGGCGACAACACATGCTTCGGGGGTTCCTCAGCAATTCATGTCAAATAAGGCAACCATGAGGGGGATGGAGTACTGCTGGTGAGCACACAGTTCAAATAAACACCTACAGGTTGCGAGCATGCTAGCGTTCCACTGGACTGTCTAGAAAAGTCTGTGGTCGTCATCTATACTCCGCTGGATGACTGGATCATCAATAACATCAATATCGAGGCCTCTCATTATTTTATTTTGTCACACAACAACTATTACATCTACCCATGTTTTACCCAACACATTTTGTAGATATAAAATACATATACAGTTTAAATCATTTAAAACATGTATAAAAATCTTTCATCCAGCATAGACAGCAAGTATTTAGACAATATGCACACATAGCACGTAAATTGTATTAAATACTTCATATCTATGTGTAAGACGAAAGGGACTATGCACTCACCTGGTAAGGTAGTGACTTTGCACTTGGACAACACTTCGTTAACTTAAAACAATTTCCCTCGGACAAAACCTAGTGTCATTACCACTAGAGTTTAGTCTAATGTTCAACAAGACTAATTAATACTCTTGCTATTATTACTATTATATACGCGTTAACACAATACTCTTTACCCACTATGTACAGACAGGGGCCAGACATGAAACACCGGAGGGTAGGATCATTTTGGCGTATAGCATTTCTGAATCCAGCAACCCAAGCGGCCCTCCAAATCGGATTCCCTGTACCGCGAGTGGTTAAAAAAGATATTATAATGACACTTATATAACCCATAATAATAGCCCAAATAATTATTCTAAGGTCCTAATAACATTACTATAATTAAATAAAAGTTATATTAAAAATAGCGTAGGCGTAGCTCACTTACAACGGGTTTTTCTTGAAAACCAGGCTTCTCTTGGAGCTGCGTTTCCGAGCCGAAAGGCTCTTTTCTCGGGGCTTCGGGAGCCTCGGGGCTTCCTTCGGGTGCTAGGGGGGTTTACCTAGGATTTAGGGGGCTTAAGGAGCTAGAGAGAGAGAGAGAGAGAGAGAGAGAGTCTAGAGAGAGATAGAAGTGAAGAAATGGTGTGGAAAAGAAGGCAACCCTCGGCCTCCTTTTATAGGCGAGGCCTCGGACGAACGCGGGGCGTTCCCTCGCTGTACGCGAGGCGTACAGCTTCGGCTGTACACACATGGAGAGGTTTCGGTGGGGCGACGTGGCCTGTCTCAGACCGCATGAAGAATCAGAACGCTGGGCGTACCAAGTTGCCTACGCGGGGCGTAGTGCGAACGTTGGGCGTACCCCCTCGCACAACCTTCGTGATTTCCCACTCCAACTTCAAAAATTCATATATTTCGCATCCGAGCTCCATTTTCGACGTTCTATAAATCCACGTGTAGACGGGACCGTACTCTACGACTTTCGTTTAGACTCTGTCGGCTAATTTTGACTTTATTTTTAAAGTTATATTTTTAACAGGCCGGGACAGGATTGGTCCATTAAAAATTCACAACTTTTTCATCCGACGTCCGTTTTCGTCTGTCTTTTTATCGTTACGCTACTATCAATGAGATCTTCGATTCTCGTTTAGGTTGTGTCGGCTAAAAACCGCTCAATCTAATATTCGAACTCCGGGCTGCATACTGCTAAGCCGTAACTTTGAAAAATCATAACTTCCTCATACGAAATCAGATTTGGGCGTTCTTTTTTATGCACGCTCTCGGTTTAACGTATTCTACGACCTTCGTTTAGATCGCTAAGGCTAAAAATCGCTCTAACGTAAATTCACTATTTACGTCGCGCAGTGTCGTGCCGGTTCTGTCGCGAAACTTCGACAGGTCATAACTTCTTCGTTATAACTCGGATTTCGGCGTTCTTTATATGTACGAAATCCTTGTCACGACCACTACCACTTCATGTATCGATATCGGGTTTATTCAAAACTTTATTTTTGACGCTTATTTTTATCATTTATTAATTATATCTTTATAATTAAATATAAAGCATATAAATTCACATAATACTCAAATAATTCATCTTTATTACTTCAAAAAGAGTTACAATAGTTGACCTAGACTATTACATCATCTACTAATGTTTAGCCCCGAAACACGGGCGTTACAATATGTCTCCCGTGGAGTACCGAACTATCCTTCGTTACCGCCTCATGATTCCTCTATTCCCAATTGACGAGATATGCTCAATTTTCCGCAAGACATGTTTGGACCCTTTTGGGGAACATGCGGTTCATTGTAGAGATCTCCTTGGTTTCAAGTACCGATATGATGTGGTCAGGGATGTTCTCTTTAATGCTTGTCGGCGTGCTGGTATTTCTGTGAAGAAAGAAGCACCGATGAACTTTTTGACGGACCCGCAGGATGGAAGATCTACACTCTGGTCGGCTGACATTTGGTCTTTGGATGGGTAGGAGGGAAGCACGCTTGTGTGGATCTTACTAGGGTCTCTCCTCTCGTCGGTTTGAGGAGCGGGGGTTTCACAGCAGGACATGCCGCTTTAAAAGTCGTTGCGTGCAAAGTGGCAAAGCACGAGAATGCATGTATAGAAAATCAACATGTGTTTGTACCTTTTGCATTTAATACATTTTGTTTTCTCGCACCATAGGCGGTGGAGCTTCTTAACAGAGTCCAACAGGTCATGCATTCTAATGTTATATCTCCTAAATCCACAGATGTTTTCAAAATAATTAGTTTTGTTATCCAGAAAAGGCTAGCAACGCATTTTGTTGCCCGTTTGCCTTCCGTCGATATCTTTTGACCTTTTTTAAGAAATGGAAAGTTGTGGAAAAAAAGATTAAAAACAAAATCGATTCCATGGGCTATGTAGATTTTTATAGGTTTTATAGGTGTTTGACCTACTGAAATCTAAAAAACATTCTTGCAAGCAACCTAGATTTTTAAAATGGTGGCATACATAAATTATGACTATTCTTATTATTATTTTTCATGTTTATGAAATTAAAAAACATACTATTGGTTCTTTATTTATTTATTTTTGTAACTATTTATTTTAATTTAAGTTAAGTTTAGATAGTGTCGCAACTCGCAACCAGTCAAAAGATGAATCTGAAAAGGACCCACAAACTCCCAAACCCTTTTAAATCCCCCTCCCTTTCCATTCCCTTTCTTCCCCCCCGAATCCTCCATCAACCAGAGTGGGAAAGAACAGTTGAAATCACCGTCACCTCCGTCGTCATCAACTCATCACCAACAGCTTTTGCAATCAATTTCATCTTTCGATAAGATTCAGCATCAATGAGGAATGATAATATTCAAAATTTCTATACGAACTGGGAGCACAATGGCGGCTTCGATCATCATTATACCGAATCTCCCAATGTCTCTGTTTCTGCAACACTCGAAGGAAGCAGCAACAATGGAGGATTCGAGTATCAAACTGATTCCAACAATCGCAATCTCAATCTCCATCCACAGGTTCTCTTCAAATTTTATTGTTCATGAAAATCACCCTACACCCTCCGATTCTTTCATCATCAAACACAAATGTTTCTGCACGTGCATATATATGATTTCTGTTTCCGGTTGATAACTGCATAAAAACATCACTGTATTTTCTTTGGATTAAATATTATTATGATCAAAACAGTTACATCAACTCTGTTTAATTTAATCGAGCTAGAAGAGAATAACAATGTGAAATTTTGTTCTGAATTTGTAACTTAACCTTTTGCAGGGAGGAAGTCCAATTGGTTTGAATTTAAGGAAGTCGAATTCTCTAATCAATTTGGTAGAAATGACGCTATCTCAAGAAAGGGAATTACACAAGAACTCATCATCTAATTCTAACCCAACTCCTGAGAAGTTGAAGGCTTCAAATTTCCCTGCTCTTCTTTTACAGATTGGTTCTTGGAAGGTTCCTTTTTTTTTTCTTTTCCATATACTTTTTGTTTGATTAAGGATATATAAGGTGAAGAAAAGGCTTGACACGTGTCTTGCATCAAATTATCACTATACCAAAATTAGATAGAAAAGAAAACTCTTATTCACATATATACATGTTTATTTGTTTTGTAGTTTTCTTATAAAAAGTAGAGTATTATTATAATAATATAATTTTAATAAGAGAAAATGATTTTAAAGTTTTAAATTCTTTCCAAAAAAAGGAAAAATTAAGAAACTTCCACCAATAGCTACGGATACAGTTTTATTTTAACTAATCCATATCGGTATTAAAACTTGATTGGTTTGACCAATAAAAGTCAAACCGGTTTAAGTCAATCAAATTGGATTCAAACCGGTTGCTGGGCAAAAATGTCCAAGTCAGTTTTTTTGAATTTTTCCAAACATGATTTCACGTCAGAGTTTAACAAAATTTTCGTAGTTGATCAATCATCAGAATCGGACAAATAAACAAATCTCATGGTTTTTTTGTAGTTGATAAATGAAAACCGATCTTGAGAAGCCTCCAAAGCCATGTATATTCAATAAATTAAAAATGTAATAAATGGAAAAAGCATTTTTTTTACTATATGTAAATTGTTTTTTTCATATATTTGAAAATCTCTTTCACCCAAGTTGGTTTTAACTTTGAAATATCCCAATCCCAAACTCTAGGATTGGATTAAAGACCGAACCCGTTTTAAACTCAAACCCCAAGACTGTTCTTTTTCCCTCCATATACGTTCTTTCAAGTAAACTAGTTGATTTGATATAAAGTATAATATAGATGATTAGAAAAGTAAAGTAATCAAACAAACATATTCCATTCATAAAAATGCAATAGTTTTCATTTTGGATCGTCCAACTTTTCCTTCTAGATAACTTTTCAATCATGATTAACTTCTTTGTCTATTACTAGTCACCAAGCGCATAGTAACTTCGATTTTGGTACACAAATTTCAATAATTTTGGTGCTTTATTGCAAGACATTTGATTAATAATTAAAACGGATATATTTATTACACACTTAAAGCCAAACATTTTTTTACCGACTAAATTTGAAATCATTTGAAAATGTTTGTAGAGAGTTTCAAGAAATGAAGGAGATTTAGTTACCAAAATTTATTATGCAAAGAAAAAACTAGTTTGGGAGTTTCTAGATGGGCCTTTAAAGAGCAAGATTGAAATACAATGGTCAGAAATATCAGCAATTAGAGCCTTAATATATGAAGGCCAGCCAGGACATCTAGAAGTCGAGGTTCATATTATTTCTCATCTAGAAATGTTTTTTTTTCCTTCCATTTTATGGATCTTATTTATATGACACAAAACATATTTATACAGATAAACCAACCACCGCAATTCGGCCGAGAGATTAACCCCCAACCACGAAAGCATACACAATGGAAACAATCTACGGATTTTACAGGAGGTCAATCATCTATTTGCAGGTACCTACCTACTTAGGGGTCAGATATCTAAACGGAACCATTCATATGTCACATCTGAATCGGTCATCATTATTATTTTCATTGGTGTTCTTATGTTAAAAGTATATAACATAAAAGGTCTAATGACAATAATAGTCCTTAGACTATTATATAAATCCAAAATAACTATAATAATGCTAACATTAACAGTGTCTATCGGTTTCGGTTTCTAAATAATATGATTTTTCTCCAGGCGTCATTCAATTGTATTTGCTCCGGGAGTCCTTGATAAGCAATATGAGAAGCTTCTTCAATATGACAATCGACTATTCAACTTAAGCCAACAACCTTTCCCAGTAAACAACTACTCATTTTTCTACAGTGACCCAAATCACTATGTGGATTACTCATACATGGATCCACATCATCGACCAACCAATCATTTTCTTAGAGATCATGCTCCCATTTTACCAAATTTAGGTAAAACTCAACACTTTTATTTATTTTTCTTTTTTTTGGAAACCATGTGATTGATCCATTATTCTATTATTCAGATGAAGGAACATTAAGACATGTAGATGAGTATCAAGATAGAGTACATATTCAATTTGAAGGGAATCCCACCATTCCTATTGGAATGCAAAAACATTTCCTACCATATTATGAGCAGGAAACCATTATCCCGATTCAAGAACCAGGAATGAAAATGTTGTCGGAAGAAAGTGATTACATAAACAATAGGATTCCAGGGTTACATGTTAATTCCAGAATTAGTATCCAAGAATCTAATTATCGGATAAGTGTTCCAAATCCATATGGAGATTCATGGGAGACTGGAACAGAGAACTTTGGATGCTCAAATGGGTACCAACAATTTAATCCGAATTGGACATAAAACGATCAGTTGTATTTTTAATTTGGAAATATAGATAAACAGAGAGCGACATTAGATTCACACTTTAACCTCATGAGAACGAGGACTGTGTGTAAGTGAGTGTGAGTGTGTGTTTTTTTTTTGTAATAAACATGTAAGTTTTGACATGTAACATGATCATAAACGATCATGTAGATTAATAAATGATACATAGTTTTTGTGTGTTTTTTTAGCATTTTAAGATATTGTAATAAATAATAAAATATGAGCTTATTTATTTTGTTTAACCTTCTGTTGTTTATCTTATTAAAACAGATAACTTTCTAAAGTATTATTTTCTTTCCCAATCCTTCTTAATAAATAAAGAACTTTTTGCCACTTGTCACATTCTCATTGATTTGGCCACATGTCATTTTGTGGTTATTTTCAATTAAATTTTTTCCACATGGCATTTTATGGTTGTTTCATTTTTATTAAATGTATTAATTGCAATAAATATAAGAATAAAGGCATTTCAATTTCATTAATTGATTTTTCTTTTAATTTCTAAATTTCTAAATTAAAGTCCATTAGTAATTTAATAATTTAATATTTTTCTATTTTTTTTTATAAATTCAACTTCTCAAATATTTGTAATATTATAAATTTTTTAAATGAACCCATGTAATACATGGGTCATACACCTAATTCTTAATTAAATGTCAAGTACATTTATTACGAGTTTTAGGGGGTGTTTGGATGGGGAAAAATTGGCTGCTTATTGCTTAGTGCTTAATCCCACAGCAATAAACAAATTTAAGTGTTTGGATAGGAGTATTTAAAAATCAGCTTATTGCGGTAGGAATAAGCAAAATAAGCTGATTTTAATAAGCAATGGGGGAATGCTTATTGCTTATTGGTCATTTTACTCATATAAGCTGTTTTGTTTACCAAACACTTAAAATGCTTATTGCTTATTGTTTATTCCCACCGCAATAAGCTAATCCAAACACATTTTAAAAAAATGTTTATTCCCACCGCAATAAGCAAATAAGCAATAAACTAATAAGCTAAAAACTATTTATCCAAATACCCCCTTAATACGTTTATAATGGTATGTGTGCTTATTCCATATCTTGTTGTAAATACATTAAAAACAAAATTACATAAGTCCCTATGGTTTACTAAAGATTACAACTTCAGTCCCTATTAATTTTATTTGACAAAATGGTCCCTATGCTTTCTAAGATTTGCATGGTTGATTTTATGATTTTATTTATTATAAATTTGATCTGAAATTACTATTATACATTTTTTTCAATTTATTTCCCTTTTTTAATATAATTTTACTTTAAAGAAAGAAAAAAAAACCCACCCCACCCCACTTTACCACCACCCTTTATTTGCGTTTACATGATTTTACTCCTAAGTCCCACCCACCACCGGACTCTTTGCATGTCGATTCTCTCTTTATCTCTTTATTTCTTCTCTCGTTCTCCTGTTTATCTCAAAAGGAAAAAACAGAAGAAGGCATGCTGCCCCCAACCCCTAACATTGTAATATTTGTTTTCTTAACAGACACTACCTAAGAGATATAGATCGTTGTGAGATGAACATATGAGATAAAGCCTTAAGTTGCTTTAATTTGAGAAATGTTATTTAATAAAATATAGTTGAGAAATGTTGTAGTTCGTGTGATAAGGATTTCGTGGATATAAAGTTTGTTGAAAACGGAGTTCGTATGAGAAAGTTACGACTATTTGAATAAATGAAAGTATGTTGCTATTTTGAGAAAGTCAACAAAGGTCAAAGTCAATGGTCAATCTTTGACTATCACAACGTGAACAATAGACCATCACGACATGACTAATAGGTCATCAAGACGTGACATATGACGAGTCACCGAGACACGTGGCTGGAGAGTGCGACACGTGGCAAAACCGGGGTTCAATTGTTCATCACGATGTGACACATATATGGTCATGACGTGACCATTACAAGTTAGAAATATGCAAGTTTTTGTGTTATTTTGGGGATTTTTGGCACATTCTATTAGAGAAATGGGTGCATCAAAAAACATGTCGTGCTGCACAAATAAAAAATGTGTTATCATTTCATTCCAAAACGAAAACTGACAAATATTTCGAACCACTTAGTTCCTCGTGTTCTGGAACAGTTCCTCGCATTCTGGAACAGTTCCTCGGAGTTGCGTGTCGGAGATCGAAATTAGGATCGGGGTCGCGTGTCGGAATCGAATTGGAAAGTCGAAGCAAGATCCAGAATGAAGGCGAGGGTCTGAATTTTTTCAAATTATATTACAGAATTTGAATATCAAATTCTCCATCCAGAACACGAACCGATAGTCCGGAATCAGAATTTAGGAGGCACGGTAATGTGCTGACCCACCCGAAAATGAGTCCGAAATACTCAAATTCCAAAATAAATGGTTATTTAAAAAAAAATATGATTTTAAAAAACACACACAAAAAAAAAATATTAGATTACTCGATTTCCCTTTAACATAAAATACGGTTTTATTGATGGGCATCAATATTCTCAATAAACATAGGGTTAACCCGGTAATTTGGCATTTTCATAAACCCATATATCTACATGGCAAGATCGTTGGATCACCCAATCGACATCAGCCACGTTGAACTTTATGACAAACTGGTCTGACATGGCTAGCTTTAATTCGTCCACGTCACTCTTCCATACAAACGTAACGACCATAAGACGACCTCCTTATAAACCCTACTATCACTTTCTCGCTCTAGCGGCGGGATCTCACTTTCTACTCTCTGGTCATGGCGACACGGAAATTTAGCGGGATTGTATTTCTCTCTCTACTACTGCTTATTTCAGTTGCTTCTGCCAAGGTGTTCTTCGAGGAGCGTTTTGAAGGTGATTCTTCCATTAACGTTTTTTTTGAACGAACTTAGCTATGCATTTGCTCGCATCTTGCATCGAATTTGACCTTCTTTTGACATTTGCGTTTAGTTGGAGATATGCGTCTGATTTTGCTAGTATTATTCGATCCGATTGGTTTCATTTTAGTTAGTTAGGTGAAATGTAAATTTGTAGTTCATCTGTGAGAGCAATCGAGATTAACGTGAATTTATCTATGCCATCTTGTTTTTAGGCTAGGGTGACTTAATTTTCAGCTTGATCTGTCCCTATGGAGATGAAATGAATTGAGTGTGTTGAGTCAATAGTTTATCAAATTGGTTTTGATCGGCTTAATTCCAGTGGACCTAAGGCTATTCCCGATTCAAGTCGACTCTTACGTCATTTTGAACAATGCTGGTGTCCTGATTAGAATGATGAATAGTTTGTCGCTCTTTTAGGTGCGCTGTTTCACTTGATGTTAGATCAGCAAAACATGTATGGTTAGCCATTAGTTGCTGTATCAGGTGATGAATGTGGGTTTATGTGATGATAATTTCTTTACAGTAAATATCCCTATCTTTAAGCATGTGCCTTGTCCCAAATTTAAGATCCTCTTCTTTCCCGGTTCTTAGATGGGAAACCATACACAAGTAATAAGACTTTCAGCATGTGGATTTTACAAATTTTAGTTAGTTTCTAGCGTATTTTTTTTCTATCTAGAAAATTGACATTTTCCATTAACTTTGGTTAAAATAAACTACTGATTTGACTTATTGACATTTCATCAGATGGATGGGAAAGCCGGTGGGTTAAATCTGACTGGAAGAAAGAGGACAACATGGCTGGGGAGTGGAATTACACATCTGGTAAATGGAACGGAGATGCTAATGATAAAGGTACACATTTTCCCATTTGCTTTTTAAAAGAAATTCTTAATTTTTTTTTAAAAATTTATAGACGCCTAACAAACTCTGTTTTTCCCTTTAACAATAGGTATACAAACAAGTGAAGACTACAGATTTTATGCCATATCTGCTGAGTACCCTGAATTCAGCAACAAGGATAAAACACTAGTCTTCCAATTTTCTGTCAAACATGAACAGAAGCTTGATTGTGGTGGTGGATACATGAAATTGCTTAGTGGTGATGTGGATCAAAAGAAATTTGGTGGCGATACCCCTTACAGGTTATTTACATATAAACACATACTTTCTCTCTAATGTTTTTTATATTTTCTCCTTTTATTGTTTCTGAAAAGTTTTAATATTGTCTTTGAAAATGTAGTATCATGTTTGGACCTGATATCTGTGGGTATGCAACAAAGAAGGTTCATGCAATTCTTACATACAATGGAGAAAACAAATTGATCAAGAAAGATGTTCCTTGTGAAACTGATCAACTTTCACATGTTTATACCTTTATTCTACGCCCTGATGCTACTTACAGTATCCTCATTGACAATGAAGAGAAACAAACAGGAAGCTTGTATAAGGATTGGGATGTTCTCCCACCAAAGCAGATTAAGGATCCAGAGGCCAAAAAGGTAAATTTCAAATGTTTTACATGTTTGTAGTGACTAAAGAATGTTCTCATTTGGTTTCAATGTTACTAATATTTGTATTGTTGATGATGATAGCCTGAAGATTGGGATGAGAAGGAATACATTTCTGATCCCGAAGATAAGAAGCCTGAGGTAATATATAACATTAAGGGCTTGTTTTATTTGTTGATTCTGTCAGATTCCTTCAAATTCCATTTAGTTTGACTGATTCTCTCTTTAAGATCCAAGTGGAATAAAAAACTGAATATGCTCTTTGATTACTAGGGTTATGATGACATCCCAAAGGAGATTCCGGATCCAGATGCTAAAAAGGTGGGATTTTTAATTTTTAATTTTCTATTATTTTTTAATGTTATGTGATTTGTTAGTTTTTGATTATAATGAGCTAAAATTTCAGCCAGAGGATTGGGATGATGAGGAAGATGGTGAGTGGACTGTTCCAACTATTCCAAACCCTGAATACAAGGGTCCATGGAAGGCAAAGGTTTGTGTTTTTTTTTTTAAAAAAAAAAAAAAATTTTAAATGCACATTTTTTATACCAATCATGTTTTATAAAAATGTTTACCCTTTGACAGAAAATCAAGAACCCCAACTACAAAGGGAAGTGGAAGGCACCAATGATTGATAACCCAGGTTTCTTTTCTTTCATATTTGAAGTCTCTGAAACATTCCTTTGTCATGTTTATTTTACATATTATATGTAAATATAATGTATAAATTTA